GTTGATAAGCGTCGATAATAACGATGTAAGTAAGAACACTAGGTCACCTCAAACCTAATGCCAGACAAGAATCTCTCCATTTCATTTTTGTTTCATTTGTGCGTTGCCATCCGTAGCCAGCCATACTCCCTTCGACCGCTACTTTGCCCTAAATTTCCTGCGAATATGTGTAGAGGCTGTCTGAAGAAATGCGATAATGATTAAATGGCATTTCTGTTCAACATCATTAGCATCAAATATTATTCGACCGCTAAATCACGCTGACATTCAAGGCATGGTGGTTGTTTACATACACCACTTCACTTCTGCAAGCTATCGCGCGTATCAAGCGGTGAGCTTCAGCGAAAGTGGGAAGGCTGTGAAAAGGTCGGCAAGGGTATCCTTCTATTATATAAAGCGCTAACTTTGTGTGTCGGTTTGTGTATCTGTGTGTGTGTGTGTGTGCGTGTGTATGTATGTGTGTCCGTCCGCAAAATGAAGTGAGTGAGAAGGAAGCTCATGGGATAAACAAACCGCTAACAAATCGGGTAGCTTACAGGATTTGAGATATCAATGTTTTGTAGCAGGATAGTTGTGATAACACTCTTAGGGCTATATAAACACCTGCTTAGCACACTTCCGTTCATTCCACATGGTGCTGCAGTGGCAGCTGGAGGGCAGTGGAGAGAGGAAGGGAGGATGAGGAAGGGAAGCGAAAAATCTACCGTCATATCATGATTGTGTCCCTTCTACTGTATGAAACACCATTGTGTTGCATACGCGTCACTTCCAGGAGGTGTTGGTGTCACAGGAGGAAGGGACCATAGCGGAGGATAGAAAGCTTGCGCAGGAAAGGAAGGTCCCGGCGGTTGACGGGGGACTAATCTGGTATCTAAACGAGAGTTGAGACAGCGGTTAGCTTTTCTAGCGGTACATAGCGTGCTGTTTAGTTTCACGGAGGCCGCTTTATGTGCTCGGCAGCGTGCGGAGCTAAACTGGTATTTATGGACACTAGAGAGCCTATGAAGATCGCAAACATCGGCTTTCCGGAGGTGGTGAATGGCAGTGGCACCTGCATGGTCCGCTGGTCACATTCCGAATCGGATCTTGCGCGTGCAAATCAAGCCTCTTATCACTGCTCCGACCAGGGTGCAACCCACGTAATGTTAACTAACAACAACGGGGAGTCCGCTACCTGGTATGAGTTTATAGAGGGGGGGGGTCGATCGACCGTCTGGCTCGTACCTAAGTCGCGGTGAAAGTACATTGTAGTTTGCTGGTGAAACTCGATGTTTTCACGGAGTAGATACCCCTCCGGGCGTCGCGCCCCGCCCCCGCTCGACGGCATTTTTGGAGGAAAAAGTGGGCGGAGTTCGGAGGGTTGAGTGGTACCAGAATTGAATACTATACAGAGGAATATCGACGGTCGAAAAGGGGGTCGTACCAAGTCCACCTTGGGGGAGGGGGGTCGTAAAAATTTTTGAAATAACAACGATATACTGATCCCTGCTCGCGATCTCTGCTATCTTCGACGATCTAAAGTTGCTTGGAGGTTAATAGTAACTGAGCCGTTCATCGCTGGCGCCCAAACAAGCCGTTCGACAATAGACAGCGCATGTCAGCTACTGATTTACGATTTCTGAAGTAACAGCAACATGGCCTCGTCCATGAAGGATGCTGAAAGTCCTATCTTTCAACCCCCATGAATTTAAGCTAGGAAGCGATACTGAATGACGCGCGGACTGCCCTCTGAAAACCCTCTCTCTGATGGTTTCACACTTGCAGCAACGGTGTCGGCCTATGTCTGTTCGTGATGGCAGTAGCTGATATCGGATCGTTGTGCTCAATTCTCATACACTATGTGCTCAGCATTTTCACCGCCACAGAAGTGGTCGCCGACTATATTGGCGTTGAGTGGCTGGATATTATTTGTAAGGTATGGTGGGCCACTTAAATGCAGTTAAGGTCATCTGCGCAGTTTGCTTTTCAGCTTGCCACTTTATCAATGCACATCTCGACGTTCGTGTCCATCTGGAGCTGGCTACTTATGTCAACCTTACGTTATCTTTCTGTCTATCAACCACTTCTGTACATACGATTATGGAAATTTCCTACAAAGGTACAAAAGTTGAACACATTTACTACACAAATTTAGCATTTGCTTTTTCCATAAAAACAAAATTTGAGTTAATGGTTTCATACGCTGAAACTCTTCGCGGTGGGTACTGATCTTTATTGATGGAGTGAAAATTCGTTTTTGGTGCGTGCACTTAAAGCAACAGTCCCAGATAAAATTTGTGTGGCTACAGCGGCGGATAATGGAGTTGCGGTGGCGAGTTGACTAAAAAATGAAAAGAAGCTAAGAAAATCATCGATGAAGCTATTAGGAGTATTCCCTATAAGGAAGGGGCGGGGCAGGACGAGTTGAAGGAACTTCAATGACTCCGCTAACCCGCGCGTTTTGGAGAAGCCTGCATGACGTAATCCAAACCAGGAGCACGGGGATCCGGACGATTCTGTTGAATACACCCCTGTCCCGCCCACAGCTTCTGCTATGGTCGCTGCTTCAAAGGCGGACTTCTCGTGGAAAAGCAACCCATCACAAATCAATGTAGAGATGGTCAGCGATTCTTGAAGTAAGAAGAACCAATAAAAGCGGCTTAGGACCCGAGAGATGTGACCCTAATGGGTTCGTCATGCTGCCCTTACCACACTAACGCTCTCTGCCAAGTGCTCCGGGTCAGACGGCGAAAGGCTACCTTTCGCTGCGAAATGCGCATCGTCCGCTTCTAAGAAAAAGCCTGCTTTTCCTCTAAGTATATATCCCCCTTCTGGATCTCCCTTTGAACGCTGTCTGGTGATCTTCGCATGAAATTCTTATAATTATAATGACACCTGGCAAATGCAGTCGCAATCGAATCCACCTAATGCTGCGGAAGTGATGCAGTTTATCCGGAGAAGGAACTTGCCGTAGTTGCAGATCTGATGATAGTTGGTTTCTATCACTGGAGGCTAATTATGCAGCCTACTTTCGTTAAATCTTAGGCTAGCGTTTCATCTTTCACCCAAAACCGACCCAAGACCGAAATAATCTACGCCCGTATCTGTTTCAGGCTATGTTCACGGTGATTAGCGCTGCCGTCGGTGTGCAATGCATGGCTGCTGATTTCTGTGGAAAGCAATCCATCGGTTGGTCGGCACCATTCAAATTCATTATTTTGTGTTTCCCGTTTAGAGTGAGGACAATTAGGTTTTTTCTACTTTTTACTCATGATTTTTTAAGGGCGGCTGCACAATGGTGTCATTATTTGGTTATCAACAGATAAATAAAGCATTTCTGCTTATTGAAAGCACCCTGTAAGTCGCTTTTCTGGGAAGTGTTTATTTCTATCCAACGTGTTTCTTTTAGATCATTCATCATTCCCACGCTGACGATCGTTTATATGGACGCCTCGGTTCTGCTTGGTCTTCGATTCAAAAAGATGACCACAAAAGCTGAACGGCCGGATCTGAGACGGAATATCGCCCCCAGTCCAAATGTTAGTGAATGACATTACCCCTTCTTTCCCGACTTTAGAAGGTTCATAGCATGGGTACGTGCCATTACTAATGGTTACGGTTAATGCCTACTTGGTTACTAGTAACTGCTTCCGTATGATATTCATTTGAGTTGGGACAGCGTTAGCTCAAAACAGCCTCGCTAACTAAATTTATAAAATGCAGGTCTCATCGCATCTAAAATAGCCAACTATAACAAAAAGCCCAATACGACCACTATCCGCAAAAAAGGTTGATTTTCGCCCAACCCCATTTAAATTCGTAGTGGGAACCCCGCAGTGTCTGATCACATCAATAACTTACAAGTCTAAAAAAGTACAGCGTCCCAATTATCTGACAAGTCCATCAGTATCAACTGAACGAGTAGTACCAATTAGCTGACTTCGCAAGCTAGGTTGACTCAGACGGGTGTGGCCTCGAATTCGACCTCCAGATCATGTACCTAATGAGGAGCGCCACTTTCCATTACACCAGTCCGATGTAGGGATCGTACCTTGTGAAGTTAACATGATATGATAATTCTATAAAAATATGTAGAAAAAGCTTTCCAAAATCAGCTATTTTTTTTACAAAATTCCGAAAACTCCGCAGCGGATAAAGCTTTCCCTCCACCTCCCCTCCTCAACTGTCCACTCTGGGCCCCTTTTTTTGGTATAGTTGTCACTATTACTGCTGTCGTTGCTTGCTTCGTGTGGAAGCGAACGAGTTGGCTAACTTTGTGCTCTCATGCTAAGGTCTATGAAGCGAACCCTCTCCGGATTCCATCCATAGCGAATTTAATCTCTCCGAAAACCAAGTGCCCGTCGAGTGCAGACCACACACCACAAGTGACGACGGCCTCCACAAAATGTAAATGTTTTTGCCAATGAAATGATTAGCCTGTTGCAGTTGTATTCTATCAGTTGTCACTAATTACAACTATCATTTACCAACTATCAGCTATCACTATGAACCACTAGTTACAGATTTACTTGGAGGCCGTCGTCACTTGTGGTGTGTGGTCTGCACTCGACGCGCACCTGGTTTTCGGAAGCAGGGACTAGCTCCCACTTCTTCTGAGTTTGCAAAATAGTTCGATTTCGCACGGGAAGAGAAACCGAGTATTTTCAAACCAAATAGAATCGAATAGAGTACCCCGTGGATAGTGGCTAGTTGTGTAGTCAGAAGGTCAAGCATGTTGTTTAGCAACGGCACTCAAAAAACAGAAGTCGATTTCGTGGCTGGCCTATTTCAAAAATTGGCTGACACATGCTGTCTCCTTTGTTGTGTGCTAATAGTACACAATCTACAAATCATTTTGTCAAGAGACGTTTGCACAGAAAGGACAGTTTAGAGGAACTCTGGATATCTTTGGCGATGGCTCGTGATTGCGCTCATTGACGTGGGCCTCAATGCGCCAGAAAACTTGTCGCCGATTGGGGCTCATTCTTGGAATTATTGAGTACAGTGACAACGAACTCTTTTATATATACAGGATCATGGCTCAGGTAAAACCTTCTAACCCCTTTGCTATTTTGCTCTTTTGAGATTGATCTAACAAGGGTTGATTCAGGTTCCCTACTACTTGCAATTTGGCTTCAACGGTTTCTACCTAGCACTGTTCATCTACGATAAGTCGACTCGACCGCAGCGGAGGCGGCTCATTGAAAGCTTCAGCGCTGAC